AAAAAAAAAAAAAAAAAAACAAAAAAAAAAAGAAAAAAAAGAAGAAGAAGAAAAGATAAAGATACGATAAAGAAACCCTGTAAAACACATTCGTGAGGTACTCTGAATATGTACACGTGCATACATAGACATGTATACTCGTTTCGTTAGTCGCGCGTCGCCGTTCACACAGCGATTATTTTGTGTGTGTGTGTGGTGCGCACGCGCGCCCCACGTACGTGTGTATGTATGCCCGCGCGTGTGTGTACGTGTGTGCTTATGCCTGTGTGCGCGACGAGGTATGAATGTGTGTATTTCACGGTGTGCGTGCGGCTCCGCGTGTTTTTTTCTCTTTGTGCGTGCGTGCGCTCGTAGGCACGCTTGTACGCGTGTGTGCGTAGTGAATTACGTCATATAGATAGATCATATGTGCTTTCTAATGATGAATAATTTTATAAATATAAATATAATATCTCGATCTTTCACGTGTACGTTTATTTTGGAAAATTCGCGCCTGGTCCGCGTGGATTTGACTATTAAAATGTAATTAGTTTTCATATGCTTTATTTTTTTTTTCGGTGTCACGTTCAGTGATAACCGTGATTATCCTTTTACGAATACACCATCCATTATGTCTGAAACTTTGAAAAATTTTCGGTTTGATTAAAAATAACCATCTCGATAATTAATTAATATATATTCTATTACTTAAAATAGCGATACATAATGTATAAATATAAAATTATAATAATCTTACCATTACACGCAATAGTTTCCTTCGTTATAATTATTCTTTACCATTTTTTATAATTGTAAAGAATATGCATCAAGTATTAACATTATGCGATGATAATTGTTAAATTCTATACCTACATGACTTTTAAATAGAGATTCGATGATAATATTTCATGGCAAGTATGCGTCTATTATCATTGATTCATTGATTATTACTTTTCTTGATAGAATCAAAGAATATTAATCTAAAGAAGCAATTTATTTTTATTTTATTTTATTTTTCAAAAAAAGAAAAAAGAAATATTAAAAAAAACATTCACGGAAGTGATCGTGAAAATTATCGTGTTTATCCCAGCACGGTTTATTCCATTCAATATCTTTTGTAAAACCTTTTTATTCAGCTCAATGCAATTACAAGTTTTATTACACAATAAAAATAGCGATACGAATATGATACACTGAATCATTAATTAATTAATTCAACACGATTTGCGCTTCTATTATCGAGCGCTATCTATTGGCAGTTTTAGCGATGGACATTTCGTCCCTGTGTATTTATTTTTGGCATTAAAAACGGCAAGTGACCGTCGTATCCTCGTGCTTTACGTTTCTTTATTATGCCACACGAAATAGTTAACTAGCATTCTTCGAGAATATTTCGTTATATATGTATATATGTATATATATATATATACACACACATACACATATGGATTCGCATAGTTTACGCATAGTTATAGCTACTCATCGTATTGAACATCGTTTAAGCCGCTTCCGGTGGCTCCGTTGTTCGTTCCGGTTTACGTAATCTGCCACCTTTTTTTCGATAGTGATACGGAACGCGCCTGTTCGGTCCTCTCGTTCTTCCTATCGGTGGTTTTTTCTGGTATTGATAATCCGGATAGTGAACAGGCCGAGAATGCGGCAAGTACCGAATATTGCCCACTTGCTCCCTTTGCCCGTTCGATATGATTGGCTTTAACGATCTCACGTCCTCCGTTACGCGACGTCGAAGACAGACAACGCAACGACTTACTCGCGATGTGTGATCTGT